GGGGGGGGGGGGGGGGGGGGGTGTTAGAGTGTTAGAGGCGTAACCGACAGCCGGGCGTGTGTAATAGTGAACGCCTCTCCTCTAATAGACGCCTCTTCTCCAATAAACAATTCCCTTCTAAAAATAATACAATTCGATAAATGCTCTAGGCGTTTATTGGATAATTTCCATTATGATATACCAATAGTCAAAGTCCCATTTTTCTATAGTGTTTTATTGGTCGAGAGCGAGATAATACGTGATCGACCGGAAATCACGTACGCCATCACGTGAAGATGCGACCTTTGGACATGCCTACACACGTAAGAACGCACAAGTTGTAACAAACCTGCAGCAGACTTGTAGATAGCAATGCTGTTTCAACAACTTGTCAACAGGATGTGTTCCACTGCTTGTTCCCAGCTTGTTGACAAGATGTCAACAGCTTGTTGACAACTTGCTACAAGGTTGCTGAGTTCAACAGACTTGTTACAAGTTGTTCCAACAACTTGTTATCGTCCTGCAACTCAACAACTTGTCAACAAGTTGTGAGTGACAACCTTGTACCAACTTGATAAAATAACAACATTGTTATGTACAACTTTTTTGCCGGAGAAGCTTGCTACAAGCCTGTTGCGAACGCATCTTGTTGACAAGTTGTGAGATTTTTACGTGTGTAATTTAGTCTCAGTAAATAAGTGATAATTATATAAATTAACCAATTGAGTTTTGAAACTTATTTGATATTTTAAATCACAGATCAAAATCAACCGCCCACCCTGGAGGAATCAACATTGCCTTTGAATCCACTCGAACCTTCAAATAGCAACCAATTAACGCAAATGTCTAAACATTATGAAGTACCGTGTGAACGCCAATATGAGTACGTCGATAAAACCGCGATTGTTCCGCCGAAAACCTTCACTTATGATTACGCTGTCTTTGATGGACCACTGAAAAGTGACCATGGGACAAGAGTAGGATTAAATAGAACAGGAGAGGACGATTATGTGATTAAAAATGATGCGGGGGACACATCGTACATCTCTGTGACAGACGCCTCTTCTCTAACAGGTGGGTTTCACAATTTTTAAAGACGAAATGTTAGATATTAACAACGTTTTGCATCAACGTTTTACAACGTTTTACAACTTTTAAACTGCTTACACACACGTATTTTACGACGTTTGGGTACAATAATGATAAATAAAATGCTTTCCAAGAAGGTGTCATGTGAGCACGCTTTACTGCGAATTTCGTGCAAAATACTAACCTTATAGGAACCAAAACAGGTGAATTTGCGTTTTTACTTAAGATCGGATATTTTTAAAAAATAAAATAAGAAGGGCCTGTAAAGTATGTTACGCATAACGCATTTACTTCGTCAAACAAAAAGATTGAGCTAAAACATTAAAAAAATACTATAAATCCAAATGTCATGCTGTGGTAAACAATTATAAATATTACTTATCAAGCAGATCTCCATTTCTCGATATATTTGTGGAAAATTATGGTGAAATATGGAACTGAAAACAAAAGAGAACACAATGAATATTAAATATTTTTACTACAAGCCCACAACTGATGGCAATCCATTCAGATTGACGATACTTAGGCATAGAAATGCGTTCAAAGCGACACGAGTTCTGGAACAAAAAAATCAAAAAAGATCACAAAAGTTGTCATTACAATTTCACAAAGATCGAAAAGACACTTGTCAATTCATAGGATCTAAATAAGTTAGAGATCCAGTGCAAACACCTATTGGTATTGTTGCTTAATTTTCAGAAAATGTTATAAAAACGGAAATTCACCTGTTTTGTTCCTAAGGTTAGTATTTTGCATGAAATTCTCTGCAAAGTGTGTTAAAATGTTGCCTCCTTGTCAACGCGTTTTCCTTGCCATTCTTGGACAGAACTTCATGAAATTACGTCTTTATCTACCGGTAGTTAAAGTTGTCAGGTTGTTTTCCGGTAGGTATAGAAGTTGTTAATCTACGTTTGTGATGTTGTTCTGAGTGTGTCCACACCCGACAAGCTGAGAACAACATCACAAACAGATATCTTCATCTGAGTGCACAACACCAAAAACAAGACGAGTTTTGAAACTTGTCAATTATGTTTGAAACTTATTTGATTTTCAAATCATAGATCAAAATCAACCACCCACCCTGAAGGAATCAACAGTGCCTTTAAATCCACTCCAACCTTCAAACAGCAACCAATCAACGCAAAGGATATCTCAACATTATGAAGTACCGTGTGAACGCCAATATGATTACGTCGATAAAACCGCGATTACTCCGCCCAAAACCTTTACTTATGATTACGCTGTCTTTGACGGACCACTGAAGAATAACCATGGAACAAGAGTAGGATTAAATAGAACAGGAGAGGACGATTATGTAATTAAAAATGATGCAAAGATGATGCAGGAAACACATCATGACTACGTGGTACGTGACGAGTCGTACGTCTCTGTTATCGACCCAAAACCAGAAAGAAAAGATGAGGACATGCATGATGATTATGTAATACGTGACGAGTCGTACGTCTCTGTGATCGAGCCAAGACCAGAAACAAAAGATGAGGAAACACATGATGACTACGTAGTACGTGACGAGTCGTACGTCTCTGTGATCGAGCCAAGACCAGAAACAAAAGACGAGGAAACACATGACTACGTAGTACGTGACGAGTCGTACGTCTCTGTGATCGAGCCAAGACCAGAAATAAAAGATGAGGAAACGCATAGTGATGACTACGTACATAGTACATAGTACGCGTGACGAGTCTTAAGCCCTGGGCAAACTAGGAAACATTGTTGCGGAAACATTGTTTCCTGCCAGTGTTTCGCCATGTTTCCCAGAGTGGGCAAACACTAGGAAACATTAGTGAGAAACATAGGGAAACATCAAATGTTTCTGAAGTTGGTAGGAAACACTTTTGCTTCTCGGGAAGCAAATTTTGTTTCCGCAACAATGTTTCCACGGGTGGGCAAACAGGGAAACATTTGTGGTAACATCGAGAATCACAAATGTTTCCGCAACAATGTTTCCTAGTTTGCCCAGGGCTTTACGTCTCTGTGATCGAGTCAAGATCAGAAACAAAAGATGAGGAAACGCATGACTACGTAATACAGTGACGTGACGAGTCGTACGTCTCTGTGGTCGGCTGAAGAGTATTATAGCAGAAAATGGGCCGGTTATGTTCACACCTCTATAAAGGTGTAATGGAAATTTCTAACCACAGGGCGCTTATATAAGAGTTTATATATAAAGAGCCCTGTTTATTCTAACAGATAAACTTGAGAGTTGTATCAAATCCACTCGGAAATCCCTAAGAGATGCTTAGATTCTCTGAACCTCTTTAAAAATCTTTACAATTCCAAAAATCTTTAAAAATCCCAAATCCACAAAATCTCGTACACTGTGCATACACCGGTTTTATGAGTGTGAGCTCCTAACTAAACACATATCTGACATATGCATGTACTGTTTAATAAACGAACAGGAGAGTTTTATTAGGTTTAATTAACAACTTGGATGATTTTAGAATAAAACACATACTGCGATTTTATTAAATGGCTTCAATTAACGCGACTCACTAGTACTCTTCGTATAAAGAATACTAAGTAGGAGAGGGTTTTATATAAAGACTACTAATGAGGAGTGTTTGCCACTTTAACTGGCAGGGGTTGAATACATGACTGGTGTCCCAATTGCCATCCTATACTCCTGAATCCTACATCCATCCTACATCAAATCATCCCCTTCCATCCCATCTCGGCAAACTGGATTCGGTTTTCTTTGATGTACCGCGGACTGCAAATAGCATACGGCCTTATTCTAGCGAAATATTTGTCTAAGGTTAACGAAATAGACAAACATTGTCGGAAGACTCTAACGCCCGAGTGGGATTTTATATCTCATGGCTTAAAGCCTCCCTTCACGGTTTACCCATTTAAGCGCCGCCTCCGATTAAGCGCCTCAAAATATTAGAGCAAAATTAAGCCCCAGTCAAACGAGGTTGAGCCGTTGCATTAGAGTTGATGAGAGTTTGACTGGATATTACAGCTCGCGCAGAGAACTCTCGTCAACTGTCATCAAAATTTTAACCAGCTGAAAGTTTATGCATGGAGAATTGCATTTCTACGAACACGGGATACGGCAGTTGTTTCAGACTGCTTGGGTGGGTAAAAACTGTAGTGCTTTTGAAAAACTATTTCAATTATCAAACATTTTAAAAAAGGCAAGCCGACAATATTTTATTAAAATTAAAGATGTTACGGAATCATTTTTGGAATATTCTTCGAAATGCAATAAGAAAACACGCCAATGAAGGATGATTGAAAAATATTTTTTAGGTCCAAAAGAAAGAATGAACATACGTGTGAGTATGCACGATGGTACCTCTTTAAACCAGTGTCTGTATGTCACGTATTGGAATGACGACCCACTTGACATACATGATGGATGTTTCAACGACAACAAAGAACACTACTGGATTTACAAACAGTTAATAACGCTGAACAGATTCGACTTTCTCACCCTTGGATCTGGCAAACAAAGTGACCGTCTCTCCTTGTAAAGCAAGCTCAAAGAACCAGCAATGGTACTGTGATGCCAACGGGTCAATACATTCACAAGAAGGTGGTGGTTATTCGAAGTATACTAGCGAAAAGTGGTTTTCGTCTGAGCACAACTGGTTTACTCTTATGGAAACGTTACGATTCTACACAAGGAAGTGACCGTGGTAATGTTTGTGATAAGCCAGTAGAGTATAAAGGTGAGAGTTCATTGTGTGATAATGGTAGCGTTGTTTGCAGATGAGAAAAGTTTTATTTGCTCGTCTGTGGGCAACTTAGCCAATTTTCACTGGTATGTACCACTACTGGTATGTACTACTACTGGTATGTACTACTACTGGTATGTACTACTACTGGTATGTACTACTACTGGTATGTACTACTACTGGTATGTACTACTACTCGTATGTACCACTACTCGTATGTACTACTACTCGTATGTACTACTACTCGTATGTACTACTACTCGTATGTACTACTACTCGTATGTACTACTACTGGTATGTACTACTACTGGTATGTACTACTACTGGTATGTACTACTACTGGTATGTACTACTACTGGTATGTACTACTACTACTGGTATGTACTACTACTGGTATGTACTACTACTGGTATGCACTACTCTTGTTATGACTACTCTTGTTATGACTACTCCTGGTATGTACTACTCCTGGTATGTACTACACCTGGTATGTACTACACCTGGTATGTACTACTACTGCTACTACTGCTACTACTGCTACTACTACTACTACTACTACTACTACTACTACTACTACTACTACTACTACTACTACTACTACTACTACTACTACTACTACTACTACTACTACTACTACTACTACTACTACTACTACTGGTATGTATTACTACTACAGCTAGTATGCTAGTTTTTGAATAAGTGCACTTGTCAAAAGTAGAAAGTATAAATTTTGTTCGTCTGTACGGGTCAACAAGGGAAATTTGGCAAGTTGAATATGAGCACTTGCATGAGGTTGGTCAGCGATTATTCTTATACAGTAGTTAATAATATCCATCGTGGTGGTCACAAAACCAAGAAATTCTTAGAAACAATAGATGATGATGCATTTCAGATGATTATCTATTGTTTTAATGCTTTCGGCAGATGAGTAGCGCGACGTTTGAAACAGGCCTTAGCAGTTAGCCGGTATAATGGTGTGGTCCAGTAATTGTGCAAATAATCTGCAATTATCTATACTACTATAGAATCTACTTTACCTGGAAAATTTACTATTTGCCTCGCACCCATACATGCATCTCCCGGTAGCGTTTCCTTCGACAAAGCTGAATGTCATACACACGTGCAATTGCCAAATAAAACTTGCCACTGAACTTGTCATATAAAAAACCTGCTTGTCTATGGCCAGCTTAAGCAAATGAAATGAGAGTGCATGATGGTGGTCATGGTATAATTGGATGACCAGAGCATCAAAATGAAATAATGAATCACAGCTGTATTAGTGAGAATTGCTGTGATGATAGGTGTTTGAACTAGATGGTGTGAGGATGAGAAAGGTCGTCACAATTAGGATTACGATTTTCTGGAAGGAAATCTACATGCGCTAGCATGTGGTTGTGAGGGAAAGTGGCACTCTATATACGAGTTGGTGGTACTGGATAACAGAATATTCAAAGTGAAGAGTGTTGGAGGGAAAGTTAAACCACTCTCAAAGCGGTTCGTTGTGCTGAGGAGAATTGTGATGCAGTAAATCGCCTGAGTATAGGGTATGTGGCCACTGTATAATTTCATTGGATGCATTGTAGTGGTATAAACCAATCACAAATTAAGTGAATCGTTGTGGGAGAATTGTGATGATAGGTGGGTGGAGTGGATGGTGTGCGTGTGTGAGGGAGAGGGGGACGGGGGTGGCCAACTGTGTGATATACTGTGGTTACTGAGTCTATGCAATAAACCACTTTCAAAATAAATGAGAATAAGTTTACGAGTAGGGTAGATTATAGTGAAGTAAAATAATCTCTTTAATCCATGATAATACACTTTCAGGTTGTTATCGGTTGGACGTGGAAAACAATGGACGTTTTATAAAGAATATTGACTCCTCGTCAAGCGGTGCTACAACCATCAAGGTCTTGGCACCAATATTTCTGGAGAACACCAAATGTTCCATCAACTGGCAAGATTGGACATACTTGAAAAATAGCAAACCTTGGCAAACAGTGGGCAAGCCGGACGACGGTATTACTTTGTCTAATGCTGATGGAAAATCAAAAGGCATTGATCTGAAGGTTAGTTGGTGTGGTTTAAGATCCTATATAGGCCCTATTAACATGGTTTTACATGCACACTAGTTTGCAAAATATTCCCTTTTCGTTAGAAACTTTTCGTTTGTTTCCTTTTTCCCCAAGATTACATTTTCTCTTGACCTTATGTTCCAGTGTTGCCTTTGCAAATTTGCCTTGTTCCCTAGGAACCCGAGGGAGACCCTAAGTATTCAGTAACTTAGTTAAATGTGGAAAATAATATGAAAGTGATACAGTCTAATGCAAGCTAGGTCCAATTTGAAGTTTTTGCATGATGGATAGTGTGTATGTCTTCCATTTCCATGACTGGGAAACTACTCCTGCAGCACATGCATATTTGCAGAAGAGTGCTTTTGGTTTAACTCTACCAAACAGCGCAGTTTTCCTCCTGTACTAAAACTGAATGGGACAGGAAATGTTCTTAGACTGGACATGCAGGAAGACTGTTCAGAATGCAAGTTTAGTTTAATGAGTTCGCAGTTTAATCGGAAAGCCGACCTTAGTTGGTTTTAGGAGTTACATGTATATATACTTTATTTAAGATTTCTTCTTCCTCTCATGAGCGATGGTCTGGAACAGTTCTTATGCTGCAAGTGAAGTGCTCGTCAGAAACAACAAGTGAACAGCATTGCATGTTGCTTAAATTTCATGGTGGTGCTCATGATGATGATGATGATGATAATGATAATGATGATGATGACAAGGTGAATTAATTAGAAAATGACAATACACCGTTCCGGAAAATACTCAGCCTTGACTATAGAACCTCGTTTCCGAGATTGAGATATCGGCTTTAGAGCCCTTTACCTTGTTACAGACAACACACTTACGAAATCACACAGGTTTATTAGATAATATAAAAGACTTTTATATAATTAAGTCATCGGTAACGAGATAAAGGGCTCCAAAGCGTATATCTCAATGTCGAAAATGAGGCTCTATAGCCAATGCTAAATACTTTCCGGAAGGGTGTATTGTATCCAAGTATGTTTCTCCAGGCCATGTCTTTACTGTCCAGAATTTTAAACTTCACTGTCCAGAATTTTAAACATTACTGTCCGGAATTTTAAACATATATATTTACGGTTCAGAATTTTATTTAAAATAGCGTTACCTGGCAACCGTATACATTTCGCTTTATGACAGTGTTTGTATGAAATATATGTGAACAATGAAGCGAAATTGATAAGCATGCAGCAATATTTTATATTTTGATGTAAATTTCAAATTAAACTGCTCTTTGTCACACAGCAGGATTCCTTTCATCCTCGTTTGACCGGAACTTAAGTTTTGAAGTTACTTCTTTACATTAACTTCACTATGTATAATTCCTTTCACAATTGTCTGCGGATCTCACACATCCAATACCTGATATCCTCGATCCTCGCTTTTCTCGGATTCATATAACACTATAATATACGTAAGCTATATCCTAATTTATTATATAGTAGAGAGTGAGATACTGAAAAACACAGTGAGATATTTTCCATATCTTCACTAGTGAAGATATCCGATCACGTGACTTTTCCAATCTGCTTTTGAGCGTGAAATTTCACAATTTTTTTCTTGGGACTATATTATAACAAACAAAACATTACACGGTGGCTTGAAGATATGACTTTTATCTTCTCGTGTTAAAAACAATATTTTACTCACTCGCTGCGCTCGTTCATAAAATATTGTTTTCACGACTCGAAGATAAAAGTCATATCTTCGCGCCGCCGTGTAATATCCTCTATTTATCTTTTCAGAACGGCATATTCATTACGTATAAGAAGACTAAATCGGCCAAATCTGACTCATATAAAATCAGTACAATTGTGTTGGCAGTGTGCTTGGCAATAGTTCTGGCCGGTATATTGGCATATGTTGTCATACAAAGGAAGTGCAAACGAAGGCAAGCGAGTGATAACATCCCATTTTATGCGGAAGACCAAGAGGCGTAGATCATTGTTGACGCAAATTTATTTTTGAAAGACGATTTTAATTATATTGAACAAGATTGTAACAAGAGATCACATTAAAAGTCTGAAGAAAGCCATTTACAGAAAGTACAGATTAAGCTACAGTATATTAGTGCGCAAATGCATCGGTTAATTTATAAATATCTTAATATCTTTAAAAACAACCAACACTCAGATTTCTACATGGTGTCTCAAAAAAGTGAAAATGGAAATCACCCTTCTAATTTGTTGTAAACACCCAAACTTCATACCTCTGGGAGGTTTAGAATGTATTGTAATCATACGAGTATATTAAAAGTGAATCAGTTGCACATGAATGTTGTAATTGAAAGTTAAAGCGACTTAGAAATTAGCCGCGTCAGTTGGATTAAAACTCGTTCAACTGATTTACTGTTTTACGCGCCACGTTAAGTTAATCTGCAAATCATATTCATGTGTTGAACGATACCAAAAACTTTTAAATAACTCCACGCATAAAATTCGATTCAATTGTGTTTACGCACCCATGCCAGAGGACTCAAATTATTTTAGACGCCCCGGCTATAGCCCAAATTTACATGTGGATATGGTCAAATACGAGACTAAATGCGCTTTACATCAAGTATTACTACCATTTGCGATCAAGCTTTGAGCGTGCAAATTTTTTCACGATATTTATGTTTCAAAACGTTAATACGCCACGTTTTGGGCGTGTCAATGTACACTTTTCAATTAAATATGTCAAAGATTGACGCGCATTTAAATGTACATTGTCCCGCCCAAGACGTGACGTAATTAACAAGAAAACGTAACGTTTTTGAAACGTAAATATCGTGAAAAAATTTGCACGCTCAACGCTTGATTGCAAGTGGTAGTAATACACTTACCTAGACTATTTTATATTTTCCAACAATTGTGATATTACTTTTCTTAGCTGTGTTTACAGCCAATTCAAAAAAGGTAGGTCCTTTGCAAACCTAAACTCCAAGCGCGCAATTTTTAATGGTAGCACAAGTTTCAAGCTTAGTGGTTGGATATTGTCGCTATATTTGTGAATGAATTGTTCTCGTAAGAAGATAGTTACCATGCATGTCTCTAAGAAATGGGCCCCATATACGATTTCTTAAATGATTAAATGATGCTCCCATTATGCTTTGCACGCTTAGAGTTTAAGGTTTAAAGTTTAGAGTTTAAGTTTTGCAAAGGACAACTTTTTTTGAATTACACGCGTGGGAGAAACCGGAGCACCCGGAGAAAACCCACGACTTGCGGCAGGGTGTGGGTTTTCTCACATAAATGGGTAACGAGAGAATCGAACCCATGCACGATCGCATAGGGCAGGCTTTCTGGCAGGCATATGTAAAAAAGTAGGATAAAAGTAGGACTGTTATTTTAGAAAAAGTAGGAATAAAGTAGGAAAACATACAAAAAAGTAGGACAAAAGTAGGAATAGTTGGTCATTGATATGCATAATATATAATATTGAAGAATACCACAGAAGTCAAATTTCATAATTTTTATCTCACTTTTTATTAATAAAGTATGCATACAAGTGGCCTCCTCCTCCCCACCAGCCAGCCTTACTCCACCTTTAACGAATAAAACAATATAAAGTTTTTAGAAGTCTTTAAAGTGTTTTCTTTACTTAGTGTTATTTACAAGTTTCGTGAGGGTAGATGAATATTTCTCAACTACTCTCTTTCTCTTACTACCAATCGTAATCTGGTTCTTTCGACAGTCTTCCAATTTCCTTCTGGCTGATTCCATCTTTTTACTGGCGACGTCCATGAGGCCTTGAACTACCGACATTTCATTCATGTCTCTTTCTTTGATGGCATTTTGTAGCCTGTTGCTTGCTTCAGAGTAGAGGGATTCTGCATTTCGTAGCTCTTCTTCTTGCCGCAACTGCTCCTGCGCAATGCTGCTGTCTTTCTCTTCAAGGGTCTTCTTTTTTGCCTTAAAATATTTTGTGGTTAATATTCGTGATAAACTGATTAAACACAACAATATGAAATTATGAATAGACCTCACTTTTACTTTATTAAAATGCAGAAAAGTTGTTGCCACTTTTCCCTTACCTCCAGCAATTTTGCAATATTCTGCATTTCCTCTTTCTCTGCTGTCCTTTTGTCTTTCAACTTCTTCTCTATATCTGACGACTTTTTGTCTTCCGCTAGACGTGCAGTGTAAACACTATTAGCATTTCGGCGTGCTTGGATCAAGGCAGGGGTGATAGGCATCATGTGGGCTTGGCCAGACGCTGTCACTCTGATGGCATCTTTCGTACTTCGTAGTGCGTTGATGGATGCATCGGAAAGGAGGGTGCGCTCATTAGTTACCACCTTCTTGTTCTCAGATAGGCTCCTCTCAACCTCTGCGTTACCATGGGCAAGACACAAACCTGCCTTCACTAGCTTCGCAAGAATTTTGTAGCGCGGTGATCCTGTAACGTTCTTTTGGTCAAGAACTTTCTGCCAATAGTGGTCTACTCTCTCGTACTCCGTTGTTCCATCCTCTTTGCGTCCTGATATATACCAGTTTTCAGGTATATCCTGCGCCTGGTACACTCTCCATTCGTCAGTGAGCAAAGGCAACTCCTCCTCTGTGATGATTTGAGGAAGTTTTCTTGCGGTTCGTTGCACTGCCTGCATTCCTTGGGACTCTTTTTGCAGAAGTGGATTCAAACAAGAGAGATCTTTTACAATTCCTCTACCAATAGGAAGACGATCCATTAAATACTTTGTGGTGGTCTGATAGAACATTCTGACATCAAGAAGTAGCCCTTTTTCTTGGCCAGGCTTTAGCTTCTTCAACGCCTTCTTGCGAGTGGTTTCACCAACTTCAATTAACTGATCGCTCAGCTGGTTCTCAGGTTTGCTCAACTCCACCGCCTTAAGATTTTTCCCTGTATTCTCTCCAACAACACCAGGCTTAAGGAAACGAAACATGATGGTGCGCAAAAGCTCCGACAGCTTGTGGTACAGGATGTGGATAAGTGGTTCCTCCTTCTGGAAAAAGGCAAGGAAAGGATGGAATACTGATTCTAAATTTTGAAGAAAGTGCAACTGTACAAAGATCTCTGGATTTTTAATCTTCTGACAGATTCTCTTGTATCGTTCGTTATTTTTCAGTGACGCTTCTTTCTCTTTTGCCATAATTCTTGGCAATTCGATTAGAAAATATTTCTCGACAGCATCCCAGCAGATCAGAACTCTTTTAACCGCGGGAATAAGCATAAGCCAACGACTCTGGACATGTTTGATAAACAATCCACTATCTAAACCAAGGCCAAGCTGTGTTTCGAAAAAATCTTCTTTCCGACATGGCGATGCCTTCAAGAAAAAGAAAAGATCTAGAACAAGCTGTTCCGCTTGTTCTCCAAATATATTCAGACCTTGTCTGAATGCATTGTGAACGATGTGCAAGTTACACGGAATAAAAGGGAGAATTCCATGCAGGCCATTGGTCTTCATGTGTTCATTGATCAAATTCCAAATTGTTTTATTAACATTAGGGCCATCCGATCCTAGGCTAATCAGCTGTGCTAATGGCAACTGATAGCCTTCCTCCTGCAATGTCTCCAATATAGCCAAGGAAACATCTTTCCCTTTGGCATGTCCAAACATCAGTGCCTTCAAGAACTGCACACGAATTTCACCAGCAGCTTCAGACCAGTATCGCAGAAGCAAATCACACTGCTTGCGGTTCTGTGTATTCGCGGTTTCGTCATATTGCAACGTAAACACACTCTTTGTTTCGCAGATTGAAGCACACATCTCTCGCCTGAAATGCGGTCCCAAGCCATCCGAAAGAAGATACGATACTTTGGATTTGCTCATTGAAAAATGTTCAGCAACATCACCAGGGAACATTCTCTTGAAAAGAGCAGGTGTTGCATCACATGATGAATAGCTATAGTTACTCTGAGCAACTTTTAGGGCCCACAGAATTTCTGCAGAGGCAATTTTCTCCTGAAGACTAGGACTTTGTATCACATATGATGTACTTGATGTAGGTGCTGATGTACTTGATGTAGATGCTGATGTACTTGATGTAGATGCTTCATTGTGTAAAGGTGGACTGCTACTCGATGGTCTGGTAGATGTCGCTCCTTTTTCCAGGTGTTTTTGGGTTTTTCCAAATCGTGCAACTGCTAAATCAGAATGCCTTTTTCCTTCAGCATGATGAAGGAGTTGTTTAAATCCTGAATTACTGCACTGTATTGACTTGCAGCACAACATGCAAAAGGCTTTATGAGGTGAAGTGTTGTCTGCACGACACCATTGCTTCACTTGGTTCCCAGCACTATCGGTTTTACGTAACCAGGATTCTTGAAATTTGGTTAGATTTGGCATTA